CCCCAAAACCCCAAAACCCCAAAACCCCTTGTGACAATTATTGAAGAATTGAAGAAAGTTTTAGAAAATACTTCTATACAAAAATAATTGGAAATAATGAAATAATCCAATATAATCATGATGTATTCAACATGATAAAACACTTCAATTGTTTTTCTTATTATCTTTCTTTCCTCCTTGCTTGTTATTATTGCTCTTTGACTGAGGCTGAGTTTGAGACTCTGCTAATGATGGAGTCTTTACCCTCTTTTAATTTGGTGGTTAAAAATCTAACTCAAGTGGGTATTTTCTTGTTCTGTCCGATCTGAATCTTAAATAAACCCAGTAAACGAAGCAAACAGTTGAAGCAATTGTCCAAGGAAGACTCACGTAAAGAGGAGTAGGGGCGAACTAAAGATTACCGGTCCCATATCTGTATTTGTAAGCGATCACTGCTTCAGTACATAGAATTGCGACTGTTAGGTATCTATGTCTTCCCTCAACGGGGTTATCTTTTCTCTTAGGAGTGTTCCATGTCTCAACATCTTCATAACCCTCTCTGAAAGCTATATTTCCGAATCCGAACCAAAGTAGAAGTCTTCCGATTGGGAAGAAGTGCTTGGGTGGAATCAAGAATGCGTTAAGAATAAAGAAACCAGTCAGGAAATGCATGCCAAGCAAGAGTTAAGTGTAGCAGAAACAACCAAATCTTCTGTGGCTATAAATAATAGTTAATTAATAAATGTCAACCACAAATTCAATAAAGCAAATCACATTCGGCTTATTCATCGTAATTTAAGAAAAATTATCGAGATAAGATGACTTACCATTTGAATACTTCCCAATCCCAAATACTCTACTTTCCCTATCTGCCTAGCCAGTCGTACTTCTTAATACCTAAGTATTTTCCTAATGCTAATCCGAGGAATATTGCTGGGGTATTAGATAAAGTAATATCCATGAGAAGGTGATCCCACCAGCACTCTCTAAAGTGAGGAAGAATATGTTACCTATATGATATTATAAAAATAACTAAAAAGTTTTACCATGAGAGTTCAAGAAATTCATCAAAAACACTCCAGAAGTGAAGAATGTAGGCATCTCTAATGACTAAGGATGCAAGGAACCAATTGCACCAATGGACTAAGAAATAGTGATCCATATCATCCCAAATATGCTGCAAAGTCAAATCGCAGTGATCATCGTAAGTATGCATATCCTTGGTAACCATCTTATTCAAAGATGGGTCGAGGAAACCCAAAACTTTTCTTCCTTGATCTGGTCTCTATCAAAGTTTCATAAAAGATATGAGTGTACTTGATGGAGCATATATATGATGAAACAGTGGTAGATTAGAGTTGCCATGACTAACATTCTTTGATATCTCTCATAAGGTTTGAATATCTGCTCTAGATAAGGATTCAAATAACTAAAGGCTATCATAAACAGAGATGCTGCTAAAAGTCCCCTAATCGTATTTTGCCTCTACATTAACCATTAGAATGTCCATTCATTTTCAAATTTAAATGCAATTGATGTAACAGAATGTTGCTTACAAAAATTTTAGTGTGCTCTTCTGGGTCTGTAGGCATTGGTGAAAGATAATCATCAATGAATGCTGAATACCAGATCACTGCGTAAGTTAAAATGAACAAACCCTGTATCTTATAGGGTACATCAGGAATGAAAGGAGGCGCCATGAGCAGAATAGTATTTAATTATTAATTGATGATTTATTCCTAGAGAGAATTTAATAATTAAGGACCTTCTCGATAATAATAATTGAATAGATATTAGCTTAATTTATTAAGATTAAATTTTATGATGTTTTGTGAACGTATACTATTTTATTTTTAAATTCAAATTTAAAATAATGGAGCTAGATCCTAGATAAATTGTTCAGCTTTACAAATGCCACCACTTCAATATAATATTAACATTACTTGACAAAGAATGTCAAACACAATTAATTTTGACTAATAAGATAGGGCTCCCAAAGGAATGGGAGTAAATAGTTACTTTTCTATTGAATGTAAGGATTATTTCTTTGTTAGAATGACATAATGTAGCTATCTTACAAGTATGGAATGCAAGATAAAACTCGAGAACTAACTATAATAATGTTAAAAAAATATCTATTAAAAGAAGTGCAGCTAGAAACTTTAAATGGATAGAAACTTTACCATCAAGGACTTATATGTTTGTCCATAGCCACCAAGGTAGGCATAGATTTGAGACATAAAAATGGATATATAGCTTGAGGAGGACAAAATATTTTGCATAAAGAATGTACTGATAGAACTCCAGTATTCTGTTAGCGTTGATTATCTCTAGAAAATTGAATAAGAGATCTTGCAAAAGTTAGAATGGGTTTTAAATCTACCAACACCCATTGAGATTTCAAAGCAAATGCTCTACTACACCAATTGCAATTTTGATTTCAATGATATCTGCAGTCAAATCAATAATTTTATCTTCTTGTGTTTGCTTGGTAAGCTATAAATTTTAAACAAATTAACTATAGATCAAGAATTAGTACTTTATAGTTCAAGTGTAATAGCGCTTACTTGTATATTTTCTGCTTTAGAGCATCTCTAAATGCTAAATTTCAGAAATTAATTGGCTACATTTATCCATGAAAATTTTGATTCTATAGACTATGTATGTTACGTTTTAAATTTGACTATTAAATTTAGATATCTATGATTGAATGTAAAAAGGTCCTTCAACTTAGAATATAAAATGGTGAATAGGATGGATCAGTTGATAATGCTCAAACAACCACAGGTAACACTCATTGTTCCCCAACGTCAAAGGCAAAGTTTAATTCTTACTTAGAATAATCAGATCCAGCTAGTTTGGAATATTTATTCTCAAGTCTTTGTCTTTAGAAAAAATAATATCATGGATTCAATTCTAATGAAGTTGTACAAAAAACTGATAGATCTCTATAAGAGTAATTTCTAACTAGATCAAGTAATCTAACTGATACCAATAGACCACCCATAGTAATCAATAATTTCTAGACAATTTCGAGAAGCAAAGTAAATCAGAAATTATGCCCCTTAGCTGGAGATGATACCTATATTTCTGAGAAAGATAACGTTTCAACTCCTAAAATAAACAGTAGTATTGCGGATCAAGATGAAAGTAACAACCATATTCCTAGTGAAAACATTTTTTCAAGTTCTAACTCTTATAACAGTCTTGGCTTAGAAGAGATGGATGAAAGAAGCAAGAATGTGGATTATAAATTTAAAAATCTAATGAATTCCAACCAAAGTTAAATTCATCAAAAGAGATTAAGCATAGCTTCTGGGCCACATATATTCGTATCCCATGTTGAAAGATTCTTCTAATAGCAAAGACAATTAAATGTGCTTCAATAACCATAGGGTCCTCTAGAAACTAATTTTTCTGGAGAAATCGAAGTGACTTCTCCACAGTAGGATATTGAAAGTGATGAGGAATAGGACGATCAAAAGACTTTCAAGTATAGTATAATAAGTGATGAAGAGCTTCTTAAGAATGAGCAAGAGGCTTACAGATAGATAAGATATCTTAAAAGCAACAGCTCTCTTAAAGATAGTCTCATAAGTATGTTTGTTTCATCAACATTATTTATTCCTGAGGAAAAAAATACAGATTCTAAGAGAACCTTAATTGAACCTGGACTTAATCCATCTTATAATGCTCAAGATATTTAAACACAGAGGGGAATAAACATTAACAGCAAGCATTTGAAGAATTAATACTCGAATTAAATAAGCTGGAATCCGTTTGCATCCTATCAATAAAACTACCGATCTCCTGGCTAATCAGTATTTAACAACAGATTTAACTCTTGAGATTAATTGGCTAAATATGCAAGTCTAGATCAAAATGATAATTGAACTATAATGTAGAGAAAAAAATAAACAAATACAACTTAAATTAGGTATTTGTATGAGTTGTTTGAGTGTAATATGCGCTATGTAAATATATTATCTTAACCTAAAATAATTTAAGTGTTATTAATAAATAATTACTCAATATTTAATTTTAGTATTTAATCAAGGGGTTTTGGGGTTTTGGGGTTTTGGGG